AAGGGATACAGTTAAATCAAACAAGGAAGGACTGAGGTATTTTTGTCGTGTTTGGTTTTGGTGAAGGGTTTTATTCTCTTCACATGTAAAAGCAATAGAAAATGCTGGAAATAAGGTTCAGTTCCTTAAACTAAAAATCATTAGCTTTCATACTGGTCTATAGGATATCTTTACTCCACTCATTCCTGCTTTTTAATATTCCACAATTTTTATTTTATTGAAGTAAACCAAACAAGAATTCACTGTACTGAAAAACCATGGTGAACTGATCCTACTGATGATGTCTTTAATTTCTTGAATTTTCCTTTTTAATCAGGATATTCAATCAAGCTGATAACTATTTTTTTCATACTGAATTTTCTTGAATCACCTGTCTCCCATTAGAACATGGTTTCTGCACTTATTTTCCTGAGAATTTGAACAATATATCATAGCTTTGAGTAGCTAATCATTCATCAGTGAACACTAAAGGGACTTCAGTATTTTCAGCGAATGTCTTTCTTTGGGTCTGACTGAGGGAAGAAGTACTTCTGTTGAAATTGTTGACAACAGAAATACACAACACCTATGTCAAATACTATGCCTATACTATGTTATTGATATCAAAGTAGAATAAAAGGTTATCTATGCAGTTAAAAGAAATTGCCTTGCATTTTTTTTAATTTAAATCTCAGGTCTCCAGAATTTGTACAAACATTTTCAATATGCACTTGCAAGTTGGACTGATGTGTTGTTCCCAGCTGCATTGTTCATTGCTTAAATATCCTCCTCCTTCAGGGGTTTACATTTGACTTCAGATTATACAGATATATTTTTATCCTGTTCCCTCTTTACCTTGCTTCTAACAACAGCATTCAAGAGGTCAATAAATGTTAGCATGGCTATGAAGTTAAGTATTTATTTAAACATACCTAAACAAGAGGCACTGATGATGACACAAACATGTAAATTTTTAAATGGGCATTTGGAATGAATTCCTAATTTTACATAACTATTAAGAGGTTTTGTATAGATTTTGAGTCAAAGTAGATAAGTACATTTGCAAGTTTAGAGGACCAGTTGTTCATCTGTTCTGACCAAAGGTTGTTATATTGCTTACCTATATATTAAGGCTTCTGTCTTGTATATGGTTAAAGTAGTATCTTTCAAAAAGCATTGATGTGAAGACATCAGCAACTGTAGAATCCAGTTCTTTCATGGTAGTCTGGTACAGAAACCTCACTGGTAAAAATATGTGAGGTGTTTCTAACTTTATTTTGGTTTGCTTCTCTCTTCAGTCATTTGCTTTTGTTACGCTTTTCTCCACTGAATTAACGATCCCTTTAGTACTTGATATTTTCCCCATCCAAGGGCTGTAATCAAGTCACCGTTCAATCTTCTTTAGAAAATAGATTGAGTGTGACATCAGGTTTGGGAATGATAGAATAAAAAGCTCAAAACACCAATTCTCCAGAATTCCTTTTATTGACTTGATTTGTCAAACTCATCAGGCATGGATGTTCAGGTAAAAGAGCACTGCTCTTCCTTTTCACATAAGATGCTGAATACAAGATATTATAAAGTAGAGAAATGTCAAAGACATAAGTAGCGTCAATGATTAAGGAAACATTTCTGCTCAAGACTGAATTCTTCCTAAAACACATTAGGCAGTTGGCAGTTTTTTATTGAATTCACTCTAGATAGACCTATGAAAGATGTGACTTGTGTTTTAGACCATGAGTGCAGTTGCTGCCTCAGTATCTTCATTTAAAATGATCCCCCTTGACCTGGTTAGGTAATTGGCTCCCAATTCACACTAAACGTACTGTTTTTTCCAAATTAACAAAAAGAAAAATATAATTTTTTGCACTTTGCAAGGAGATGCCAAGGAGAAAAGAAGTAAAACACCTTTTTTGCCATCCTTGAACCATACATTTTTTCCTTGATACATCTCCCATTCTGTGATTAACAGTATTTCCTTATCTCATCTCAAGCTATTCTTTATTCCTCTCCTAGCTACTTTTAGTCTTCCCTAAAAGAAAGTTGCACTATGTCTTTTTTTTTTAGCAGAACAATGCCCTTTTCCTAGTTTTGCTACAAATTAGTATAACATTACCAAAAAGGTACCTCTTTCATCTGGTTTTCCCAACTGACCTTCATTGTTCTGTGTTATTTTGTTCATTTAGTCTTTCCCTGTTCCAATAATTCCATCCAGTGCCATTTCTTAATGAAAAGCTAAGAATATCTTAGTAATGGTGACAGAAAAAATGGTGAGGACTGAATGGATTCAGGGGTAGAAACAATGTCAGGAAAAACTCATTAATCCATTTGGCTTGTGGACTTACACTTTCCGGCTTCCTCTACCTTTTTGGGTAGAGCAGTTGGAGTCACTGTTTTGCTGATTTGCCTTCTCCTGTTTAGTAATGTGGGTGGGTCAGGAGCACCCATTCTTGTCAAATGTGCCCAATCAACGGAAAAAAAAATAGGATAAGCATTGATATATAACCTCATCTATGAGTACTGCCAGAGTGCAATATTGTACTAGGGTACAACAGGACAGCTAAATAAAAAATTGAATAATAAGAAACAATTAACCAATCCACGTCAGTTCATGTTGCAAATATTCTCTTATATATGCACTAATACCAGTCAATGGCCTGGTTCTGAGGAATGGCCTTCCTGGCTTTTCCTATTAGCAAACCCTAACATCTGCAAGTTGCAATATATTTTTACTGTAATTTGGTTACTATGGTGATGAGGGATAGCAACAAATTCATGAAAGATTCTTTGAATGTCTTCTGACGCTAAAGAGAAGTGAATAATATGTCCTAAAAGATAGATCCAATTCATTTTGCCTTATTGGAACAACTATTTCCAATGAACTGAGTGATAAAAAGGAAATTGTGTTTTAACCCTTTTTCTGCTAATGGAATTTTCTTGTATAGTGTTTGTTGCATCAGCTGTTCTGGTATATAATAGAGACGGAGTGTGATATTTGGATCTCCTGGTAAATATTGTTCCATATACTTACAGTTGCTCTATATAGCTAGTCTGTGTTGGTAAGGAAATTATTAGAGGCTTGCATACTTATCTATTAATTGGTTTAGAATGAATTAGCTATGTTTACCTGGCAGTTTACAATTCTGAGTTAAAAGTATTCTGTTTACCATTTCAAAAGTATACATCTTTTTGTAAAGTATAATTTATTGTTTTATGAATGTTTATTTTTAATTCAGTTGATTCAAGTGACTAACAAAATGTGGAATCAATACATACTACTACTTCAGAATAGATTTCTTATGAAGTTATTGTTATTGCTACAGCAAATTATTGAAAAATGCTTCTGATGTAACCTGTAAGTATGTGTTAGGAAGGTGTTTAAATCAGAGTACCAAAGTACAGGATATGTAAAAAGCATATTTACTACATAATTTTCCAGAAGTAAATGGAAGTAAATTCTTAGCTGCTATAATTCTGCTGTATCTTTGATGTTGCACAATTAAAAAGAGTTAATTGTCCAAAATACTTAGGCAGTACATAACTGTTGAGGTATGCAGGCAGATCAGTAAACCCCTGCCTGGGGTTACAATAACTGAACAGAACATGGGAAACTACTGGACATAATATGAGAAGCTGCTGAGCTTAACAAATAACTGAGTGAGTGGCTGACAAAAGTTAAGATAGTACCATGAGCGATGACTGGATTCCACAGACGGTTAAGGGAGAATTTTGTGAGAAACAGGAAAACTTCACAGATAATTAAAGGGGGGAAACTGGGGACTTTTCAGGGATTATTTTCTTGCAAGGCCAACAGAGCCTGGGTAACCACATCAGTAATCCCACATAAAGCCAAGATTATCTAGGTAACCATATCAGAAATACTGAATTTGTGTATGGAGGTGACAAAACTGGGGCCAATGGGGACAAACACTTAGGTAAGGGTTGTTTATCTGGGAGAAGAAAAGGGTGAAGAAATGTAGGGATCAAGGTGGACGGGAGAAGTACAAATATGGAAAAATGCAGAGAAAAGGTGATAAAAGGGCTGGCTGAGTGTAAGTGGACTGTGGCTCTTTATGCTTGTCTGGCTGAGCCCTGCATCTGATCACTGCAGTCTCTTTTCTTTACTATTTCTGTGTTACCACCTTTCCTAGTGGGCAGGGGTTAAGATGGACTAGCGAGCAGCTAGAATGATACCCAGATCTGGAATGACTCAAGGTCTGAGCCAGCAAGTTGGCAAGAGGTCCAGGATCCAGGTATGGTTATCGGACAGACTTAAAACCTGTGCTAATATTTGAGGGATCCATTAATGTGGGTTTATTTGTGCATTTAGAAAGTGAGGGAGTGTGTATGTTTGCTGGTGAACTTCAATACTGACTAGCCAGAGAGGAGGAAAAAGTTTGAGCCATCATTGCTGTTCACGCTCACAAGTGCTGTTTGTGTTTATGTGGTGCAGGGAAGAACACTGCTTTCCATGTTGATCCATGTGGTCACTGTGTCCGTATTTTGTCTGTGTGTGTGTGTGCGCGCGTGATTGTGTGTGCACCTACTGAGAGTACATTCAGCTTCACTACTGGTTGGATCTATAAACAGGAAAGGGAACAACCTCCCCTAATAATAATCACTGTGAAAGAGATGTTCAGTGACTCTTCAGTGTCTCCTGGGACTATGGTTCCAGTTCTCATCCTCCCTTTGCTACAGATGAGTTTACTCACTCTCACATATTTCTCCTATGATTATTCACCAAAATAAATAAAACATACAGGAATATTTTAAGTTCTTTGCTTTTCAAATGGTGATAGTTTACAGGTGTCCCAGTCAGTAAATGGAGCTTCACAGTGTAGGCAATTTAAGAAAAACACGATAAATAAAAGCCTCTTAATCCCGCCTAAAATTAAAAAAAAAAAATTAATGAGAAATAATAGGGAAACACAACATAGTGACAAGGTAATATTTATGGGCAGCATATCAAGAAGCATCATTCACTCAAACACTCCCTAATTTTTTATACTTATTTCTTTTAGGTCCATTTTGTGAGGAACCTGCTGATCCTTGTGCATCTCAGCCATGCTTGAATGGGGGCATATGCCAATATAATCAGTCTGGCTATGTTTGTGATTGTCCTGCTGGTTTTCTCGGTCACAGTTGTGAAATTGATATCAATGAATGTTCTTCAAGGCCATGTCAGAACAGAGGTACATGTATCGATTTGCCAAATGTAAGTATAAACTTCAGAGATCCCTATTTGAACATAGAATCACAGAATCATAGAATGATTTGGATTGGAAGGGGCCCTTAAAGGTCATCTAGTTCCAGCCTTCCTGCTGTGGGCAGAGACATCTTCCACTAGATCAGGTTGCCTAAAGCCCCATCCAACCTGACCTTGAACACTTTTATTGATAGGGTATCCACAACTTCTCTAGTCAACCTGTTCCACTGTCTCACCACCCTCATCGTAAAAAATTTCTTCCTTTTACCAAATCTAAACCTACCCTCTTTCAGTTTAAAACCTTTGCCCCTTGTCCTGTCACTAAAGGCCTTGGTAGAAAGTCTTTTTCCATCTTTCTTATAGGCTGCCTTTATATATTGAAAGGCCACAATTTGGTGTCCCCAGAGCCGCCTTTTCTCCAGGCTGAACAACCCCAATTCTCTCAGCCTTTCTCTATATCCATTTTCATGGCACTCTTCTGGAATTACTCTAACAGGTCCATGTCTTTCTTGTGCTGGGTTCCCAGAGCTGGACACAGTACTCCAGGTGGGGCCTCATGAGAGCAGAGTGGGAGAATCACCTCCCTTGACCTGCTGGCCACACTTCTTTTTATGCAGCCCAGGATACAGTTGGCTTTCTGGGCTGCAAGCACACATTGCCAGCTCATGTCCAAATGTTAATACACCAATATCACCAAGTCCTTCTCCACAGGACTGCTCTTAATCCATTCATCACCCAGTCTGCACTGATACTGGTGACTGCCCTGACCCAGGTGCAGGACCTTACACTTGTCCTTGTTGAACTTCATGAGATTCACATGGGTCCACTGCTCAAGCCTGTCAAGGTCCCTCTGGATGACATCCCTTCCCTTTAATGAATCAGCTGCAGCACTCAGCTTGGTATCATCCGCAAATTTGCTGAGGGTTCACACAATCCCACTATCTATATTATTAATAAAGATATTGACCAGTACTGGTCCCGGTATGGGCCCCTGAGGGATATCACTTGTTGTTACTGATCTCCACTTGGACATTGAGCTGTTGATTGCAACTCTTTGGACTTGGCCATCCAGCCAATTCCTTATCCAATGAATAGTCCATCCATCAAATCCATATCTCTCTGATTTGGCAACAATGATGCTGTGTGGGACGATGTCAAAGGCCTTACAGAAGTAAAGGTAGATAACATCAGTTATTCTTCCCTTAACCGTCAACACAGTCACTCCATCATAGAAAGCCACCAGAATAGTCAGGCATGATTTTCCCTTTGTGAAGCCATGTTGGCTGTTTCTAATCACCTCCCTGTTGTCCATACACCTTGACATAATTTCCAGGAGGATCTGTTCCATGAAAGTGCCAAAACATTTAATTCTAATGTAACTTTTAAAATTAGCTTTGCATGTTTCATGAAGAAACACAGCATTGTCTGAATGTGAAGTATTTCTAATATTTCTATGGTTAAAAAGCCCAAATTCCACATTTTCAGTTCAGTTGCTTGGAGGTCACTTAAGAAACTACTGATGCTGTTTCATTTTTTTTTTCCTCTCTCTAATAAAATCTGATATAAACCATGATACATTTGTCATGTTTATTACCTAGTGGTTGTTTCCTATTGTTGCTTTTCCTGTGGTATCTGTTTTTAATTCCTTTTTTTATTCTTTCTTTTTTCTCTTTGTAAAATAGAATAAATTCATGCAGACTCACAAAGGTTTGATAATAGAGTCATATCTGGTAGTATTGCAAACTGCACTGTTGATGTTCTTTCATTAGCATGACTATTGAAAATAGCAGCGATTATACAGAAACAAAATAGTGAAAGAAGAGTTCAAAAGCTCAGTTATCATATATCAGTGATACATAATCACTCACAGAGAGAGAAAAAACCAGATATATTGCAGACTCACAAAGGTTTGATAATAGAGTCATATCTGGTAGTATTGCAAACTGCACTGTTGATGTTCTTTCATTAGCATGACTATTGAAAATAGCAGCGATTATACAGAAACAAAATAGTGAAAGAAGAGTTCAAAAGCTCAGTTATCATATATCAGTGATACATAATCACTCACAGAGAGAGAAAAAACCAGATATCTAAATTGCCAAATTGATAGATTTCTAAATTATGCAATCTGTCTAAATATTTTGTCTGGTAGATAAACTAGCACATACTATTTTGTACGATCATTTCCATAGATAAACAGATGCAGTAGTTTGTTTCACACATATAGAAATCTCTCAGCATATGTTAAAATAAAGTTCCCTGACCATGCCTTTAAGACCGATTCTGAAAAAAACACCTGAATACTTCCAATTTCACTGGGGGAATAAACCCCTATATATTTTTCCTTTATTTTCTGTTGTCAAAAAACATTACTTTATGTAGAAAAATAAGGATGAGAGTGTCAGTTCTAATAAATATTTTGTTTTGTAAAATAAATTACTGTTCTTACTGTGTAAATTACAGATTGCTGTAACTGACATGTCTTTCACCATCATAGAGAAGTACAGTCTCTGTGCTTCATATTGAAGGGGGAAAAGGATACAAACCATTTTCCTTCCTACTCTAGTTAGTGAATACTGTTTGGTATCTGAGGTACCTTGTGCACTGTTACTGTTTGATAGATGCAAACATTACATTGGAACAAATTCAGAAATAAGGAAAAGTCATAAATGAATTATAAAGCTCTTTCCTGATTCAGTTTTGAAATCTCAAAGCCAGCCAAATTTAGAGCTGATATATATATACATATATATATATAAAAAGCTAGCAAACCCAGCTCTGGTATAATCTGTGCTGGAAGGCCTATTCTACTTGTCCTGAATTATATTCGTATCCTATTTGGGGCTAGGACTGCTTTTTGTTCTGCCTTTGTAAACTGTTTAATATGATGAGACCCTGTCCTAGTTAGGGTCTCTAGAGTAATGGAAGTAAACACTAATTTCTGTATTGCCTTGGTTACAACAAATAATTATTTCTAATTTCCTTCTTTTCTATAGGATGTGGCATGTATCTGCCTGCCAATATTCACTGGCAAGTTCTGTGAGAGAATACTGAATCCATGTGAATTGTTGCCTTGCTTAAATAATGCGACTTGTGTAGCTCAACCCCAAACCCCCCCCTGCCGGTAAGATTAGAAATTAATTTATTTTAGTACTTCGTTGGATCACTTGATGATATCCCACTGATTGCAGAAAGAAAAGACATCATCAGTCACAGAGAACACAGAAAACTATGAACTTTTAACAAATCTTTATTTAATTTCAGTGCCCTACTGTGTTAGTCTTCTTGAAAACTCTTGAAGTGCTACAAAAAGATTTAAAACATTTAAGGAGTTATAAATTGTTTCATCATTACTTCTGTAAGATAAAATATATAAATCCTGACACAGAGAGAATTAAACTACAGATACCACTCCCATTCAGGGTGTATGATGTTTATGCTACATTTCTGAAAGGATAAGACAATTGTGTTAATTTCTAATTCACAGACATGCATTAGTAGGTTTTAGATTGATCCTTCAAGCAGCATAGTAAAAAGTGCTTCATTCAGAAAGACCATGCTAAAATCATCCATTTGAAAATAACAGAAGTGACCCAGTAGGTATATAATTTCATTCCATTTTAAACAGCTGTTTAGATATTTTCTTACACCAGTAAAGAGTACAATTTGTACTCTTCACATTTGCTTGGCTTTTATCTGGCTGCCTGAAGTAAGTTCTGCTAAGCATTGCTGAAGTGCAGTAAACAACTTTTAAATTTTAGGATATTCATGAAAGCAGAAAATTGAAAGCTGTGGTACACAAAAGCCTGAAAACACATTATGAATGAACTTAGAAACTGTAAATACATAACAGAAGTATAAAACATGAAGTTACAGTCCATCAAAAGACATCCAGTTGAGAAGTCTGGAAATTAAAATATAAGTAGAACTATGTTTACAATTTTCTCAAAGAAGAAAAAAAGACATACAATTTTATTTATACGTACACCTAAATACATATATATACATACATGCACACACATACAAACACATACACAGTTAGATCTTCCCATATAGGTATGCATAGCACAGAACAGCAGTGTTATCTTTTATTTTCCAATACTTTAAACCAAGATATAAGCTACTAATAATTTACTATTATATAGCCAGTATTTTATACAGTATGTTGGTGCATGAATTAGTATGAAATTATGCCTGAAGCTTACATTTTAAAATATGCTTAAATATGTTTAAATATGTTTAAATATGTTTAAAATATAACATGAACAATTAATATGAAGATGTAAATTGTCTTTCTTTTAAAAAAAAAAAAAAAAATCCTGGCCCTGTGTGCAATGCAGATTGAATAATTTACAATTTCACAAAGCACTGGTAGAAATGGTCAGTACCATGAACCTCATATTAACATGGAAATTGGTTAATAAAAATAGCTATGGAAAGGCATGGTGATTTAACAGTCTTTCCATTGATATACTATGTGAGAATAAGAGTCATTATTTAGATCAATATAACAGAAAGTAAAAATGGGCAATTAACAACCCAACTGTGCGTCCAAAGAAGGGCAATGAAGATGGTGAGAGGTCTAGAGCACAAGTGTTATGAGGAGTGGCTGAGGGAACTGGGGTTGTTTAGCCTGGAGAAGAGGAGGCTCAGGGGAGACCTCATCGCTCTCTACAACTACCTGAAAGGAGGTTGTAGCGAGGTGGGTGTTGGTCTCTTCTCCCAAGAAACAAGTGATAGGACAAGAGGAAACGGCCTCAAGTTGCACCTGGGGAGGTTTAGTTTGAATATTAGGAAAAATTCTTCACCAAAAGGGTTGTCAAGCATTGGAAGAGGCTGCCCAGGGAAGTGGTTGAGTCACCATCCCTGGAGGTATTTAAAAGACATGTAGATGTGGTGCTTAGGGACATGGTTTAGTGGTGGACTTGACAGAGTTAGGTTTACAATTGGACTTGATGAACTTAAAGGACTTTTCCAACCTAAATGATTCTATGATTCTGTGATTCTATGATTTATATTGATTACCAAGAGAATCACTTCAATTATGTGGTAAAGCTAGGTACTAGAGGTTTTAGTTTTGGGCTCAGATGGTACAATCCTGTTTACTACTAATATCAAGCATTAAGATCCTATTAATATCAGTGGTGCTTAGATTTTACTTTTAATATTTGTGTATTACTCATGCATTCAGTTGTGCTATCTGTAAAATATACATATTTGCTGAGACAGGCAAGACACATTTGCGGAGAGCTAGTTTGAGACATGGGATAGGTTATAAACTTACTATTTTTAACACTAAGAACATTCTAAAAAAGGGAAATAACATACTAGAGAGAACACTATGAATAGAGTAATGAAGAGTGCATCCTTCAACTTCATACAATGTCGAGTGCTTGGCCCTGTACCTACTGTTTAAGTAAAAACTTTGGATAGTATTCAATTCACATGGTTTTCCCTAGCATCTAAGCTGCACACCAGACTTTCTTGGTGAAGTCACTCCAGTGACTCACCTTTTCCAAAGAGAAATATCCAGGACAGGTGAGATGAAACATCTTCTGGAAGTTCTGAATTTTCTCTGTACAGAGGTAGAGAGAAAGCCTGGACTGCTGTCCTAAACCAGATACTAAAACTGCAGACTTTTAATGTTAGATAAATATGGCAGCATTGGAACTTAGTTTCGATACTCAGTCTTAGTTTTGCCATTCAGTCCCTGAAGGCTCCAATTAGTGTTTGCAATATTTTTGAGTGTTTATTGTTAATAAATTGAAATTTATTTCCTAATTTTTTGTGAAAATAAAATCAGTTTTCTATCACTTAATCCCAAATATTTAATAAATGTAAATTATGTGTATATTTATGCCTGTATACTTGGAAAGAGTCATTTAGGTGAGAGAAAACATTTTGAGGAAGTATGAATCACATTCATAAAGAGATTATCATAAAGAGACCAGATTCAGTAATTCGGTTGTGAGAGCTGTGGTCTTGTCAAAGTCAGAGTGCTGAAATGTAGAGGAGGTGCTGAGTTTTAGAGAGGGCCAACAGTCAGCAGGTTTTAATGGTTTTAGGATTCAAAGTTACGTCTTGCATTAGCTACTTGAATAACAGAGGATGTTGGAAGGCCTATAGGAACAGTGGTTTAACAGTTTCAGTTTCTTTAAGTCACAGACTTGGAAACTTTCTGGCTGTGAGTCATGTTTTAATTCATTTTACCCAAAGGAAACCTGCCATTAACAATGTTGCTTTATTCAGGAGGTTTGGAGCTGCTCATTCAAAGTTTTAAGTGGAGGTTTTGTTTCATTTTTGGTAATCATTGTCAAATACTGTAGGTTATGACTATGTTTAATTACTCTACAAAAAATTGCATGTGTTTCCTTCGGTGTAATACCTGATCCACTTTTACAGCATTTTAACATTTTAAATAAATGTAATGATGTTTAGTTCACATACATATACAAATTCAAATAATAGCTGAATTGACCTTTTAATCCTTTTTGTTTTGGTTTGGTTGCCCCTGTTTTGTCTGCTTCTGCTTATGCCCAAACTGCATTCTGCTTATATCTATCACCATCTCAGCTTCTATCTACTTATCCTTTCTTCTTTGGGAAACCAGTTGTTTTCCATTCTAAACATATAACCAAACAGACTCAATATAATTTTCTTCACTTCAGTTATGATGTATGACTATACTGTATCCTCATTCCATCCTTTCAGTCTTGATATCATATACAACTTTGTGCTAAGAATCTAATAGTAGCATTTTTTCTTAAATGTCAAAATTTAAGGTGAATTCAAATAGGCAGTGAACAAGGATATCCATCACAATAAATTGTGATTGTTTACTTTGTATCTTCTTCTATTATCCTTGTTCTTTAGGACAATAAAAAGTCACAAAAAATGTGAAATGGTGTTCTGAGAAAAATTGTTATGCTAGTGTCATCTTTAGAACTTTACTGTCAACTTTCTTGCTGTTAATTTACCCTCTCTGACATTGGTATGTCTATTGCAAAACAACAACAAAAACAAAAATAAGAAAAATGATCAAATACAAAAATTAGAAGCAGTTTCTAAAATTGGCTTAGTAATTTATCTATTTTATGAAACAGTCATAGATTACCTAAATAAATTGGACCAAGAAAGCTAGGAGCTCTTTCACCTGATTTTGAATCATAGGTAAAAAAAAATCAGTAAAACAAACATTGTAATTGAGTTGCTCTGATTTGATTTTAAGTGTTATTTCAATATGTAATACAGATAGAAAAAAAATATTTATTTTTTTTTACTTTACATTCCTTTTATATATATAAAAATATAATGTATGGATGAATGATGCTATAATATAAAGGACAACAAATATGCTATCTGTTGATATGAGTACTTTTGTTTAGAGGGAAAAATAAGTATGTGACTATCTGATATCTTTGAACATGCTGAAATAAAAGGAGCTAAGTATTATGAAAAACTCCTTTAAGCTACAATAACTGAACTGGAAATTTGTTAAGAATAGACTTTGCAAGAATTTTGATTCCAAATATTTGAAATTGTAGTGATATAGTTATAGGATTTACATACAACAATTTTTTCAAGAGGAGGGTGAGGAGTGTGAGGAGAGTGCAGTTCATTGTTATTTGCATAGAGTGTCCTCCTGCAGTTGTATCAATACTAGCCTAAAAGAATATAGCTATTTAGAGAAGGTTTTCCCATATCCACCTACCTCTGTCCTAATGATCCTATGCATGGACTGTGTGGATGCTCGCCAGGGGTTTCTGGTGAAATCCAGCCTGTTTAACACTTCACCAAAGGCTAATAAGTGACTTAAGCTTCTGGACATGATAGATGCCTCTGTGCATCCCTCAGAGGCATAGCCATACCCACTGATTAGGCATCTTTAACAGATTTAGAAAATACAGTTAACTCAGTTTATATTGAAAATATATCCTTTACTTTTGTATGCTACATAACTGTGAGAGGCTTCATGCATTCTGAAACCAGGGATGGTGTAATTTTTTTAAATGGGGAAACATGAGCAACATGACTGAATCTCATATCCATCAGGATATGAGATATAGAAGATATAGAAAAACCAGAAGCAATTCTGTATCACCTTCATGATTTCCAGCTTCTGGGCTGAGTCATTAGACAAAGTACCCCTCAGAAAAAGCTAAAGAAACTTCCCATCTATTACTTTTGTGTTCCTTCACAAACACAAATTTTCAGCTAACTGGCCATTTTCTTTCTCATCTACTTAAATCTTTTCTTTCCATGCTACCAGAAAGAACCTTTAGACAGAGGAACATGATAAGCATGTCTGTAAGAACATATCAAGTGAATTTGACAGGGATTATGTATCTATCAAAACACAAAAGAGAGTTTTTGCAGTCTGGATTTTACTTTTTGCACATTTTGAGCAGAATATAAATATTCAAATATTTTTCTACACTATTCCATTACTGCTTTTGAATAAGACCTGTTTATTATTCGTTTGAATCTCATTTACTAATGACAAGTGCTGACATGAAGCAGAAGAAATGTCTGCAGTTCCTTTTACCATAGAATAGTTATCCACAGCTCCATTGGCATCACATGAAACTAACAAACTGTCACAAAATAGAATGCCAGTTTTCTCCTTTAAAGAAAATACCGAATTACAATTAAGTGAACACAAATACAACCATGTATTATCCTTTCCACAGGTTCCTTACATTGTTCCTTACATACCTAAGCATGCCATTATTGACTATTCTTTGTTAATCACTAGTAATGATTGATGCTATTTTAAAACTCATTTATCATCATATTTCTAATTTTCCTCTCTGATGGTTTAATTGACCCATCCTTTCTAATAGATTTCCAAAACCTCATTTGAGATTGTTTTTTGTTTCCAGAAGATTGTATGAAGTATTGGTATGAAAATGCTTTAATCAATGAAAAAAATTATTTTATGGAGAAGCAAAAATATCCAGAATCATGCAACTGATTTTTAATTGCTTGAAAACATGTTCTGTTTATTTATTTTAAATACCATATGAGGCCTGTTTTGTTACCACAAGAACATTATTTAATAGAATTATGGAATATAATTAAAAACAATTAAATTTTAAAATGCAAGTCCTCTAAAATACACTGGTGTATTTGCAGCTGCATGCCAGGATTCACTGGAAAGAACTGTGAGGAAGTAATTGACTACTGCAGGCTGCTCAGCATCAACTGTCTGAATGAAGGATTGTGTCTTAATATAATTGGAGGATTCACTGTAAGTAATTTAATACGTTAAACCAATTCAGTGCTCCAAAGTATAAAAGCTTCAGACAAGCAGAAATGCATTCATTACTCTAAGAGACAAGAGGGACATACATTTATGTGTTTGCTGTTTACTTAAATCAATAACACAAGGACAATTCACTTGGGTAATATGGATTTTTTTATTACTTTTCTACTGAGACCGTGTTTTGTACTATATCAAGTAAGAGAACTGAAGAGTATTTTTATAGTAAAAAGAATATATAACTAATTGTGGTCCAGTGCTATTATCCACACAGATGATAATCACAGCTATGTTGCAGCCTTTAAAAATACATTACTTGAATTGAGTACATCTGTTGCCATTGTTTTAACCAGAATCAAATTAGTAATTTAAACGTATGCACATTTAGTCTTAATACAAACTTAGAAGTTTGATGATGAAACCGCAGTGCGGTGAGGTTGATTTGAAAATTTGAAAAAATGTAATTCCACTTGTTTTAACTCTCAAAATAGCTCCTGAAAATGTTGAGCAAGATCCATCATGAACCAAGATTCTTCTGGCCATAGCTTGTCAAAAGAGAGGAAATAGTTTCTCCAACATCAGTAACTGGGAACAACTTAAAGGTTATTCTAAACAACCACTTGTTTTGCAAATAACAGGAGAAGATCACAGAATCACAGAATGGTTGAGGTTGGAAAGGACTTCTGGAGGTCATTTTGTCCACCACCCTGCATGAGCAGGGCCACCTAGAGCCATTTATCTAGTCCTAGTCCACTTATCCATTTGGGTGTTCAACCAAAATGTATTAGGATTACTGTTACTCCTTGCTTCAGGGAGTAGGAAGACTAAAGGAAGGAGAACTGGAACCAAGGATGACAGCAAGGTTGGCAGGGACAGTGTCCTCACCAACAAGGGGCACAATCCCTCAATACCTACAAGAACACAACAGATCCACACATTCAGCCAAAAGTCCGGTGATCACCAGACAAGTCCTTAGTTATGAAGCAGGTTTGCAGTCAAGCTGGGTAGTCAAGTCAACAGATCAGAATCAGCAAGATACAAAGCTGGATACAGGCATACTGACAAAATAGCTCAGGAAAGGATCTAGTGCAAAGGCCTGAGCTTAAATGCAGCTCATGAGTAAAGGAAAGAAAGTGTGGACATCTCAAAGGCAAGTTCTGTTTTCACAGTAGGGTGATCCAAGGTGACAGTGTTGGGCCACATCAGTGCTGACCTTGAACAGAGGCAGTTAAACCTGTGAGAGAAGGGAAAGAGGTCACCAAGGAAGAGTGCACAGAAAAATTATTATAGGCTGGTCAGGCCAATTAGAGCCTGTTGATGCATTCAAGGTCCTGAGAGTTTCTCTGAATATTCCTTACATGTAATTATTCATTCAGCCCAAATATCGTTGCCTTTCTTATAGTCACAAAAGCTAAAGAGGCGTTGATATTTTCTCTCCAACGCTTTCTACCTGACTCCATGTGTTCGCTCATGTTCCTTGAGTCTTACCTGATCTGATAACTGCTATATACAGGTGACCAAGGATTGTTTCTCCTATTTACTTATGGGAACAAAGAGAAAAGAAGCTTCCAGTCATCTATTCAAAGTGGTCAGACCATTTTGTTGTACCTAGTTCTGTGTGCACATTCTAAGCCAGATACTGGTGTGGACTTCTCAAGTGTCACTAAGAAATAAATTCATACCACTGTTGACTGCATCACAGTCTCCCAATTGCTGCATCTTGTCATAGAATCATAGAATCATTGAGGTTGGAAAAGACCTCTAAGATCATCGAGTCCAACCGTCAACCCAACACCACCATGCCCACTAAACCATGTCCCTAAGTGCCACATCTACACGTCTTTTAAATACCTCCAGGGATGGGGACTCC